GAATATGACATCGTTACAGTACAGTATTCGAAGTGGTCTCAGGATATTTGTCAACCGCGGAGCCTTCCTCCGCCTCCCCTTTTCCTTCCTATTTTCCTTCCTCTGAATGCTCCAACAGAAGATGCAATGAGAAAACACCTCTGGACTCTCACAGCGAGAGAGCATCCGGTTGACAGATATCTTGTAACTGTATTCGGAGAATTAGTGTATTGGACAGTAAATTAGCTTGTGAAGAACGTTGCACTTCCTAGATGGTACTATCGGGGGAAAAGGTTGGAAACAGGCCGACGCTGGCTCATCGTGCCAACTTGAAAATTCTCAAAAGTCGTCCTTTGAAAGGTCTATGAGGGGAATGAACTGTTTCTGGTTTTGATTGCCCTGCTACTACGTAGGAATGATAGAGTGGCCGAAATCGAATTGCCCTAGCAGTTACCATGCGTAGTAGAAAACTGAATGGAATAAACAAACAGCATCAGTATCAGGTTCCTGGACATGTTTTCTAATAGTTTCGCGGAAACAGCGCTGACCGCTCCCGTCTCCTGGTCATGCGCAGCCCTTCCAGTTGACCTGTACACCTGAAACTTTGTCCACAATTGCCAGTCGGGTTCAATTGTTTCTAGGGACTAGGTCGTGACGCGCGCCTCCAATGTTTGTACATCTGCTCGGTGAGCAGCCAGCTGATGAGGTTGCCGGCAAACCATCTGCCAGCCATCTACCTGTGCTACCTCCAAACTCGTCTCTTCTGTTTGCTCTATAAGGGTTTCTTTCTCTAGTGCTATGCACTTTATTTTTCGCGTTCCTATGAATGGGGTCGGAACACTCTTCAGAGTTTCTTAACCCTGACCGATGACGGGCTAGGTTTTACCTCCGTAGAAGGTCAGCGACACCTTTATAACATCTTTTAATTTCAGCCTATGGTAGAAGGCCCATGGCGGTCTACTGAAGTTTGTTACGATCGTTACGCCTACCCTACCAGCTACACTGATCAGCACCTGTACAGGTAAGAGCTTTCACATTACTTTGATCACTTTTCTTTTTCGTTTCACTTCATTGATTTATTGATTTCATCCATCTAACTTTTTCTTCGGTCTTGCCAAGATCCTTTTGAAGGCTTTATATTCGGAAACCCTGGGCGAGTCCTCTGTAATTCGCTCAAAGGATTCCTTGTGCGAAGCTGAAACCGCTCCCAACATAGAGCAAATGAGGACTACTCCCTAAGCCCAGGAGGAAGAGTTGCAAAATGGATGAAGCCCTCCTATGAGAAAATGGTGTTCTGCTCCACGACCATCCGGCGTTGTGCAATGAGCACTTTAGATGTTCTTCCGTCCCCCCTGAAGGACTCTCCCATCTAAAGTCATTCCTGGAGTCCT